ACACTCGGTCCAGTTTGGCCTCCTCTGAGAGTTTCGTGAATTACATCAGTTTTCTTAGTCCGATTGCGTATTCTCTTATGGGCTCCGTTTCTCTCTGCTTCATCTGTGCAATCTGATTCTCTAACTGTTCCTCATACCTTGGTGGTAAAAAGTATTCCAGCAGTTCTGTTCTGAACTGCGTCCATGTTACGATCCTGCTCGTCGTGTTGTTCCACCAATCACTCGCGATCCCCTCCAGGACGAATGGCATCGTCTGTATCAGCTGGTCCTTCCGTATTTCGTATCCGCCAGCCCAATGTTCCATTTTGCTTAGGAACTCCAGTGGGTTTGTTGTTTCTTGGTACCGGATGCCCCATCCAGGTACCCGGTCTATGACTTCCGTTTCCATTTTTATTTCTAACTTTCCTTCTGTTTCGTCCCCAAGACTTGCATCTTTGATGTCCATTATCTCCTCCTTTTCCCTGGTTACCACGATCGCCGGAATTGTTTTTTCGCCGGGCGAAGTCTTTGTCTGACCGTTTCCGTATGATCCGTTTTCTTTGCGAACGCTGCCAACAAACGCCTCACTTCTTTCTGCCGTTCCTAATCCGAACTCTTTCGTGTATTTCGTTGGTTCGCTCTTTGGTGCCAGATATACCCAGCTCGACATTACTCCGCTGGTGTCGGTTTATTTCCTGCAACCACTTTAACCTGTTCGGGCGCCACTGTGACGGTTCGTCGTTGTCGGGTGGCTCAGGGATGGCCAGGGTTCGTCACAAGAATTTGTTTGTGGTTGCTGAAAGAGAGTTCCGACCCAGCCCAGAGTAGAAGTCGTGGGGAATTACCTAGTAATTGATTATAACTAGGTTTTATTTTAGTAAGTATCTTGACATTTGATTATCAACTATCGAATTCTCCGGATTTGGCTTGGGGACCCTGAAGTCAGCCACAAGAGAGAGAGAGAATGTGTTGCTTGGGGACCCTGAAGTCAGCCACAAGAGAGAGAGAATTTTTTACTTGGGGACCCTGAAGTCAACCACCAGAGAGAGAGAGAATTGCTTGGGGACCCTGAGGTCAGCCACAAGAGAGAGAGAATGTTTTGCTTGGGGACCCTGAAGTCAGCCACAAGGGAGAGAATTTTTTACTTGGGGACCCTGAAGTCAGCCACAAGAGAGAGAGAATGTGTTGCTTGGGGACCCTGAAGTCAGCCACAAGAGAGAGAGAATTTGTTACTTGGGGACCCTGAAATCAACCACAAGAGAGAGAGAGAGAATTGCTTGGGGACCCTGAGGTCAGCCACAAGAGAGAGAGAGAGAGCTCAGCCGGTGAACCGTGCCGTAAGGAGGTGTGATCCTGAAATCAGACGTCTCCTAGGGATCCCTCCAGGCCGGCAAGCCGAGAAGGTTAGAGGGAGGAGGAAGTACTACGGGAGCTAACTACAATGTATAAGCGGACTTGGATCGAATGATCTAGTCCACCAAAAAATGACTTTGCTGCTTGCCACCACTGGGGAGTTGCCTCTATACCCTTAGACGGTTGGCTGCTAAGTGCCTTTCTATGGCCCGTGGTCCGTCTTATATAGGGCTCGGCGAGATCTGGTGTGCCCGTCGCCTGTGGGATTTGCCGGTCTAAGTGTGACCATCGTGACGCGCGATCGTTGGCGCGCGCGCGTTCTCCTCCTCATGGAGCTCTAGGATGTCTCTATCCGGTGTCTCGGTTGCCCGGCTCTCCTGGGAGGTTTTGGCTGTTTGGCTGTTGCCTTGCCCGGACTGGATGTTCCTGTTTGGTGCCGTGGTCTTCATCTTTGCCGATGCTGTCCTTTTCCGAGCGGTTCCCGCCATCGGTCTTGGCTCTATGAACTTCGCCATCGTTTGCGCTGCCCTAAACTTTGTGTGTTTGTCCCGGAATTTTCGTGCTGCCTCCGTGAATTTGTTCATCTTTTCTGTAATGAGACAAATGTTTGTGTTAGGCTTAACGTTTAGTTTTGGTGTAGGATGTTGGGTTGTGTTATGGTTATGGTGTAGTGTTGGTTTACGTTTGGGGTGTGGTGTAGTGTGATGTCTAATGTTATGTGAGTTGTGTGTTGTGGAGTAGTGGCATTTGTGTAGTGTTTGGTTATGTGTATTCAATGATAGATTGTGCCTTTCATGTGTTACTAGTTTATCGTGTTCGTTCTGTATTGTATTTGTTCCTACGTACTGTTTGGTGTTTCCGATGTATACTCTCTTTGTTTTTCGTGTGTTCGGGTCTTTCACTGTCATGATCACTGGTGACATGAAATTGGTTACCTTCCAGCCGTCGTACTTTGGTGCTAGTTTGGCGTTAAATTTTTTTGCCGCTTTTGACAGATAGTGCGTCTTGCACCATACCAAGTCTCCGACATCTGGTTTCCAATCCCTTTTCCGCGGCTTCTTCTGTATGCTGTGTTGCCTCCTTTCGCACGCCTTTTAATCTGTTCCATCTTTGTTCTATACTTTCCTCCTGTAACCCCGATCCTTTTGTTACCCTGTCGAACATCGTGTTTGGTAATCTTAATTCTTTCCCGAATACCAGTTGCGCACGGCTATATCTTGTAGATTCCGATTCACTGCTATTGTATGCTAGCATTAGCTCTGGTAAATGTTCGTCCCACGTGGTCTGATCCTCTCCTGCTGGCTGTGCGATCATCGTTTTGACTGTTCGATTCGTTCGCTCGGTAGGGTTCTCCTGGGGCGAGTACGGTGCCGTCAACTGTTGCCGTATCCCCCATTTTTCCATGGCCTTTCTTGTTTTTCCTCCTGTGAACTGGACCCCATTATCTGAGGTTTTTGCCGATCCAACTCTCGCAATTACCCTTTCTCTAAAGACTCGTAGGAATGCGTCCACTGTAGCCTGTCTGATTGCTGCAAGTTCCACCCACTTCGAGAATTTGTCCGTGATTACTAATAGTGTGGTGTTTCCGTGCTTTGATCTGGGTAGAGGTCCAACGAAATTCACACATATGGTTTCCCATGGTGCTTCTGCCACTTTTGTCAGCATCTTCCCAGCTTTTTTCTGTTGCGATACCTTGTATTTTTGGCAACACTCGCATTTCTGTACGTATTTCCTTACGTCCTTGTTCATTCGTGGCCAGAAATACCGGTTCTTTACCCTTCTCAGTGTCTTTAATTTGCCCAGGTGTCCTGCTTCTGCTGTACTAAGGTTTTCCGTTAATACTTGTTGAATTTCAGCCCCAGTTACGCACAGTTTCCATGGTTGTGTGTCCATCTTGAATTCCGCGCTTTTTGGGTCTCGTTCCAGTTCCTTGTATTTTTCCTCGATCCATGTCTCCGTGTACTGTATTGTTTTCAACTCGTTCTGTGGTGTTCTGGATAAGACGTCTGCTACCGCATTCCATTTTCCCTTTCTGTACTGGACTTCAAATTGGAATGGTTGTAGGCCTAGCGCCCATCTGGCCACTCTTCCCGACGGGCTTTCTATTGAGTTCAGCCACTTCAAAGCCATGTGGTCTGTTATCACTATGAACCGATAGCCTTCTAGGTACATCTTGTACTTGTTGATGCCCCAATATATTGCTAAGCATTCTTTTTCGGTTGCGCTGTAGTTTTTCTCTACTTTACTCAACCTCCTGCTGGCAAACGCTATCACATGCTCTCCGTCCTGTGTTAAGACCGCGCCTACGCCTAAGTCGCTGGCATCCGTTTGTAGTTTAAGCTGCCTTGTGAAATCGGGGCATGCCAGTACCGGTGCCTTTGTTAGGCTCGTTTTCAGTTGGTCAAACGATTCCTGTTGTTCCTCGGTTCATTCAAATTGTTGTCCTTTCTTGATTAAGCCTTGCAACGCTCCTGCCTGTTCGGAGAAATTTGGTATGAACCGTCGGTAATATGATGCCATTCCTAAAAAGCTGTGTACTTCCTTTGTGGATCTCGGCGCTGGTAAGTCTCGAATTGCCGCTACTTTGTCCGGGTCTGTCCGAATGCCCCGATCGCTTATGACGTGTCCCAGGTACTTTAGCTCCTTTTGGAAGAAGTGGCATTTGTCTGGATTAATCCGCAGGTTAGCTTTTTTGTTAACTTCTCCAGATGTTCACGTTTGCTCCGGCCAATAACCACTATGTCGTCGAGATATGCAAATGCAAACGGTTCCATTTCTGGCCCCATTATTGAGTCCAGTGCTCTTTGAAACGTTGCTGGAGCTGTGGTTAGCCCAAATGGCATAACCTTCCACTGGAACAGTCCACGTCCGGGGACTGTGAATGCCGTGTATTGTCTAATATTCCTATCCATTGGGATCTGCCAGTATCCTGACTTGCTGTCTTGTCGTTCAGCACTCGATAGTCCACACACATTCTCCATTCGTTGTTCTTCTTTCTCACTAGCACTACTGGCGCGCTGTACGGGCTACGTGAGGGTTCTATGAATCCCAGTGCCAACAACTCGTTCACCTGTTCATTGATAGTACCTCTGTTTAATCGGTTTATCATCCTTGAGGTAAATCTTATGCTTTGTTATATTACTGGTTCCCTGCATTCCTTCAAATACTTGCCTCTGCGTTTCCAGAAAGTCCTGTACTTCCTTTTCGGACGGTTCCCCTGTCGTGTCTTCTTGCTCCGTATTCGTCTCCGGCTGGTCCTCTTCGTCTCCTGGCTCTCTTATTTCCAGCTCTAAGTTTCCACACCTCAGCGTGCTGCGTACCCCCGCCAGAAAGTCCATCCCTAACAGTATTCCTCCTGCCACTTCTGTAAGTATCATAAACGTCACACAATTTTCCTCCAAATTGGATTTCTGCCGTGAATTCTCCTATCGCCTTCTGCGTTGTTCCGTTGGCCATTGTTATTTCTGCACGGGCTCCACACCATTTGCCCTTTCAGATCTTGATATCTGTTTCTGCTTATAGCGCTCCTTGATGCTCCTGTGTCCACTATTCCTTTCGCTGTTCTGTTTCCGACCATTATCCGGGCTACTATTTGGAACCCGTCGCAACAAAACTGTTCCCCTGCTGCTGGCTCTTTTGTTGCCGCCTGAGATGCCATCATTATCTGCTCAGGCCTCCTGCGTTTCCCGGCAGATCCAGCAAAACAGCCTCGGTGGATTGTTACTCGTGCGTGGCCCATGTCCGGTTCCTCCACAGCGCATGCATATCTCCGGTCTTAGCTGCTGCACAGTTTGGCTTGACTGTGTCCGGTCCTCTGCCTCTATTCCTTCTACCTCTTCCGTTAGTTTGAGAAACTCAGTCAACGAGTTGAATCCTGCCCTCCTAGCGTACAGCTTTATCTTGCTCCTGCTGTTTCTGTACACTCGGTCCAGTTTGGCCTCCTCTAAGAGTTTCGTGAATTGCATCAGTTTTCTTAGTCCGATTGCGTATTCTCTTACGGGCTCCGTTTCTCTCTGCTTCATCTGTGCAATCTGATTCTCTAACTGTTCCTCATACCTTGGTGGTAAAAAGTATTCCAGCAGTTCTGTTCTGAACTGCGTCCATGTTACGATCCTGCTCGTCGTGTTGTTCCACCAATCACTCGCGATCCCCTCCAGGACGAATGGCATCGTCTGTATCAGCTGGTCCTTCCGTATTCCGTATCCGCCAGCCCAATGTTCCATTTTGCTTAGGAACTCCAGTGGGTTTGTTGTTTCTTGGTACCGGATGCCCCATCCACGTACCCGGTCTATGACTTCCGTTTCCATTTTTATTTCTAACTTTCCTTCTGTTTCGTCCCCTAGACTTGCAACTTTGATGTCCATTATCTCCTCCTTTTCCCTGGTTACCACGATCGCCGGAATTGTTTTTTCGCCGGGCGAAGTCTTTGTATGACCGTTTCCGTATGATCCGTTTTCTTTGCGAACGCTGCCAACAAACGCCTCACTTCTTTCTGCCGTTCCTAATCCGAACTCTTTCGTGTATTTCGTTGGTTCGCTCTTTGGTGCCAGATATACCCAGCTCGACATTACTCCGCTGGTGTCGGTTTATCTCCTGCAACCACTTTAACCTGTTCGGGCGCCACTGTGACGGTTCGTCGTTGTCGGGTGGCTCAGGGATGGCCAGGGTTCGTCACAAGAATTAGTTTGTGTCAGGCGTGGTTGCTGAAAGAGAGTTCCGACACAGCCCAGAGTAGAAGTCGTGGGGATGTACCTAGTAATTGATTATAACTAGGTTTTATTTTAGTAAGTATCTTGACATTTGATTATCAACTATCGAATTCTCCGGATTGTCGGGGTGCCGCCCTTGCTGCCTTCGCTTCCTTCGTCCACTTAGAATACCTGGTATCGGGAGCTGTCCAGCTGCTCGAGAGGACCAGCACGGGTTGGGTTGCCTGAAATGAGAATGGGGTGCTTAGGGACCCTGAGGTCCGTCACGAGCGCGAGAGAGAGCTATTTAGTGCTTGGGGACCCGAAAGTCGACCGCAAGAGAGAATGTTTGGCTTGGGGACCCTGAAGTCAGCCACAAGAGAGAGAGAATTTGTTGCTTGGGGACCCTGAAGTCAGCCGCAAGAGAGAGAGAATGTTTTGCTTGGGGACCCTGAGGTCAGCCAAAAGAGAGAGAATTTGTTGTTTAAGGACCCTGAAGTCAGCCACAAGAGAGAGAGAATGTGTTGCTTGGGGACCCTGAAGTCAGCCACAAGAGAGAGAGAATTTGTTACTTGGGGACCCTGAAATCAACCACAAGAGAGAGAGAGAGAATTGCTTGGGGACCCTGAGGTCAGCCACAAGAGAGAGAGAGAGAGCTCAGCCGGTGAACCGTGCCGTAAGAAGGTGTGATCCTGAAATCAGACGTCTCCTAGGGATCCCTCCAGGCCGGCAAGCCGAGAAGGTTAGAGGGAGGAGGAAGTACTACGGGAGCTAACTACAATGTATAAGCGGACTTGGATCGAATGATCTAGTCCTCCAAAAAATGACTTTGCTGCTTGCCACCACTGGGGAGTTGCCTCTATACCCTTAGACGGTTGGCTGCTAAGTGCCTTTCTATGGCCCGTGGTCCGTCTTATATAGGGCTCGGCGAGATCTGGTGTGCCCGTCGCCTGTGGGATTTGCCGGTCTAAGTGTGACCATCTCTCTCGGTCTAGTGTGCCCCTACACGCGCGATCGTTGGCGCGCGCGCGTTCTCCTCCTCATGGAGCTCTAGGATGTCTCTATCCGGTGTCTCGGTTGCCCGGCTCTCCTGGGCGGTTTTGGCTGTTTGGCTGTTGCCTTGCCCGGACTGGATGTTCCTGTTTGGTGCCGTGGTCTTCATCTTTGCCGGTGCTGTCCTTTTCCGAGCGGTTCCCGCCATCGGTCTTGGCTCTATGAACTTCGCCATCGTTTGCGCTGCCCTAAACTTTGTGTGTTTGTCCCGTAATTTTCGTGCTGCCTCCGTGAATTTGTTCATCTTTTCTGTAATGAGACAAATGTTTGTGTTAGGCTTAACGTTTAGTTTTGGTGTAGGATGTTGGGTTGTGTTATGGTTATGGTGTAGTGTTGGTTTACGTTTGGGGTGTGGTGTAGTGTGATGACTAATGTTATGTGAGTTGTGTGTTGAGGAGTAGTGGCATTTGTGTAGTGTTTGGTTATGTGTATTCAATGATAGATTGTGCTTTTCATGTCTTACTAGTTTATCGTGTTCGTTCTGTATTGTATTTGTTCCTACGTACTGTTTGGTGTTTCCGATGTATACTCTCTTTGTTTTTCGTGTGTTCGGGTCTTTCACTGTCATGATCACTGGTGACACGAAATTGGTTACCTTCCAGGGGCCGTCGTACTTTGGTGCTAGTTTGGCGTTAAATTTTTCTGCCGCTTTTGACAGATAGTGCGTCTTGCACCATACCAAGTCTCCGACATCTGGTTTCCAATCCCTTTTTTTCCGCGGCTTCTTCTGTGTGCTGTGTTGCCTCCTTTCGCACGCCTTTTAATCTGTTCCATCTTTGTTCTATACTTTCCTCCTGTAACCCCGATCCCTTTTGTTACCCTGTCGAACATCGTGTTTGGTAATCTTAATTCTTTCCCGAATACCAGTTGCGCAGGGCTATATCTTGTAGATTCCGATTCACTGCTATTGTATGCTAGCATTAGCTCTGGTAAATGTTCGTCCCACGTGGTCTGATCCTCTCCTGCTAGCTGTGCGATCATCGTTTTGACTGTTCGATTCGTTCGCTCGGTAGGGTTCTCCTGGGGCGTGTACGGTGCCGTCAACTGTTGCCGTATCCCCCATTTTTCCATGGCCTTTCTTGTTTTTCCTCCTGTGAACTGGACCCCATTATCTGAGATCAGGGTTTTTGCCGATCCAACTCTCGCAATTACCCTTTCTCTAAAGACTCGTAGGAATGCGTCCACTGTAGCCTGTCTGATTGCTGCAAGTTCCACCCACTTCGAGAATTTGTCCATGATTACTAATAGTGTGGTGTCCCACCAATTCCACACATATGGTTTCCCATGGTGCTTCTGCCACTTTTGTCAGCATCTTCCCAGCTTTTTTCTGTTGCGATACCTTGTACCTTATACCTTTCTGTACGTATTTCCTTACGTCCTTGTTCATTCGTGGCCAGAAATACCGGTTCTTTACCCTTCTCAGTGTCTTGAACATGCCCAGGTGTCCTGCTTCTGCTGTACTAAGGTTTTCCGTTAATACTTGTTGAATTTCAGCCCCAGTTACGCACAGTTTCCATGGTTGTGTGTCCATCTTGAATTCCGTGCTTTTTGGGTCTCGTTCCAGTTCCTTGTATTTTTCCTCGATCCATGTCTCCGTGTACTGTATTGTTTTCAACTCGTTCTGTGGGGTTCTGGATAAGGCGTCTGCTACCGCATTCCATTTTCCCTTTCTGTACTGGACTTCAAATTGGAATGGTTGTAGGCCTAGCGCCCATCTGGCCACTCTTCCCGACGGGCTTTTTATTTCGATTTGGCAAACGCTATCACATGCTCTCCGTCCTGTGTTAAGACAGCGCCTACGCCTAAGTCGCTGGCATCCGTTTGTAGTTTAAGCTGCCTTGTGAAATCGGGGCATGCCAGTACCGGTGCCTTTGTTAGGCTCGTTTTCAGTTGGTCAAACGATTCCTGTTGTTCCTCGGTCCATTCAAATTGTTGTCCTTTCTTGATTAAGCCTTGCAACGCTCCTGCCTGTTCGGAGAAATTTGGTATGAACCGTCGGTAATATGATGCCATTCCTAAAAAGCTGTGTACTTCCTTTGTGGATCTCGGCGCTGGTAAGTCTCGAATTGCCGCTACTTTGTCCGGGTCTGTCCGAATGCCCCGATCGCTTATGACGTGTCCCAGGTACTTTAGCTCCTTTTGGAAGAAGTGGCATTTGTCTGGATTAATCCGCAGGTTAGCTTCTGTTAACTTCTCCAGATGTTCACGTTTGCTCCGGCCAATAACCACTATGTCGTCGAGATATGCAAATGCAAACGGTTCCATTTCTGGCCCCATTATTGAGTCCAGTGATCTTTGAAACGTTGCTGGAGCTGTGGTTAGCCCAAATGGCATAACCTTCCACTGGAACAGTCCACGTCCGGGGACTGTGAATGCCGTGTATTGTCTAATATTCCTATCCATTGGGATCTGCCAGTATCCTGACTTGCTGTCTTGTCGTTCAGCACTCGATAGTCCACACACATTCTCCATTCGTTGTTCTTCTTTCTCACTAGCACTACTGGCGCGCTGTACGGGCTACGTGAGGGTTCTATGAATCCCAGTGCCAACAACTCGTTCACCTGTTCATTGATAGTACCTCTGTTTAATCGGTTTATCATCCTTGAGGTAAATCTTATGCTTTGTTATATTACTGGTTCCCTGCATTCCTTCAAATACTTGCCTCTGCGTTTCCAGAAAGTCCTGTACTTCCTTTTCGGACGGTTCCCCTGTCGTGTCTTCTTGCTCCGTATTCGTCTCCGGCTGGTCCTCTTCGTCTCCTGGCTCTCTTATTTCCAGCTCTAAGTTTCCACACCTCAGCGTGCTGCGTACCCCCGCCAGAAAGTCCATCCCTAACAGTATTCCTCCTGCCACTTCTGTAAGTATCATAAACGTCACACAATTTTCCTCCAAATTGGATTTCTGCCGTGAATTCTCCTATCGCCTTCTGCGTTGTTCCGTTGGCCATTGTTATTTCTGCACGGGCTCCACACCATTTGCCCTTTCAGATCTTGATATCTGTTTCTGCTTATAGCGCTCCTTGATGCTCCTGTGTCCACTATTCCTTTCGCTGTTCTGTTTCCGACCATTATCCGGGCTACTATTTGGAACCCGTCGCAACAAAACTGTTCCCCTGCTGCTGGCTCTTTTGTTGCCGCCTGAGATGCCATCATTATCTGCTCAGGCCTCCTGCGTTTCCCGGCAGATCCAGCAAAACAGCCTCGGTGGATTGTTACTCTCGTGCGTGGCCCATGTCCGGTTCCTCCACAGCGCATGCATATCTCCGGTCTTAGCTGCTGCACAGTTTGGCTTGACTGTGTCCGGTCCTCTGCCTCTATTCCTTCTACCTCTTCCGTTAGTTTGAGAAACTCAGTCAACGAGTTGAATCCTGCCCTCCTAGCGTACAGCTTTATCTTGCTCCTGCTGTTTCTGTACACTCGGTCCAGTTTGGCCTCCTCTAAGAGTTTCGTGAATTGCATCAGTTTTCTTAGTCCGATTGCGTATTCTCTTACGGGCTCCGTTTCTCTCTGCTTCATCTGTGCAATCTGATTCTCTAACTGTTCCTCATACCTTGGTGGTAAAAAGTATTCCAGCAGTTCTGTTCTGAACTGCGTCCATGTTACGATCCTGCTCGTCGTGTTGTTCCACCAATCACTCGCGATCCCCTCCAGGACGAATGGCATCGTCTGTATCAGCTGGTCCTTCCGTATTCCGTATCCGCCAGCCCAATGTTCCATTTTGCTTAGGAACTCCAGTGGGTTTGTTGTTTCTTGGTACCGGATGCCCCATCCACGTACCCGGTCTATGACTTCCGTTTCCATTTTTATTTCTAACTTTCCTTCTGTTTC